ATTTGGCGGATGGGGGCTAGGCGAGAAAAAGTGTAAGATTTTTCTGTCACGACCCCTTCTGACGAAGTGTAAACGGCCTTGGCGGCTATAAGATAGCGAGATGCGATAATATCCATCTCCCTCTCACTTTTTCTTATCTTGCCATGAAAGAAATATTATTTTATTTTAAAAGACGCTTCATTTTAATAGACCTTTATCAATAATAATATACTACGAAAAGAACTTCTTCCTCAACCGAGTGTTCCACGACACTCACGCATGTTTTTTTCTTTTTTTATGTGTGTTACCTCATAACTTTTTAGTACGAGAACCGATTTTGATAATTATATTTTTTTTATTTGAAAGCTGGTGCTTCTCATGTGGTACAAGTTGATCAAGGTCTGACCAGTAGTTTCTGAGTTATCCTAAAAAATTTATATTGAAGTCGGTTGTACAAAATTTTTAATTTTACCCCTTGTTTTACTTCCGTGACTGTGGTGATGCTTGTAGAACTGCACACTCAGTCAACCTCGGGAGATAAAAAGAAGCTAATGAGTGCGAAAAAATCTATACCTGAATTAGTTTCATTTTACCACGTTTTTTACTAAGTCTTTTTTTGTTTATCTGTCTGTCTGTTTGTCCTTCCGGGTGGAATCTTGCAACTCAAATTTCGAGCAATTCCCGATGATCGAACTTGAAATTTTGAACATATGTAGCTCAGAATTGGATAACCATGTAGGAATGGAAAACGTGGCAGGTATATTAATTTTTAGTACAAAATTAAAAAAAAAACATCACTTGTTTACAAAATTAAAAAAAAACATATGTGTAATATTCTCATAAATTACACATAAGAAATAATTTCCCGAGATTTTAAATAAATATTTTATTTTAGCATAATGTCACCTGACCGACATTGAAATTATATTTGTTTGGCAGAATAGAGCCCTAATCTCAGATCCTTATCGTAATCCGTCTTATTAAAGAAGTACTTTACAACTAATTTCAGGTTTAAATCAGGGTCTGTTTCATTCCTATTCAAGTCACAAGTGAGCGTTGTCACCCGTGAGGACTAAGAGGGAATGCCTCGTTTCCACAGTAAAATGGGTATCCGGTTCTCTACACTCACCATAAGAAACACAGCAGGGTTGAGCTGCTATTTTACGCTGGTATTCTGTGAGAGCGTGGTACTTTCTCTGTAGAACCGACCCATCGTACTACAACTATACTTCTGATATAGCTACAGCATGGCTCTACTCATGGCTCATGGTTGTTAAAAATTAATTTGCCAAGATCCGCGTAGTAAAATAAAATGAATTAAATAAATATAATGGTGTTGGGAGTAGTAGTGCTGGGATTAGTTGTGACGGGGATAGTGCACGCAATTGAGGGATGGCTGGAGATGGTCTTCAAACGAGGTAAGGCTTGGATTTTAGAAAACTAATTTTTAAAATCTTTATCATCAGTTATCGCCAACGGCGTGAATCTATAAGACGTACGATATATTGCTACTTGAGTAAAGTATTGACAATATATCGATAAAATAACAAAGTGCAGCACAACAGCGCCAGGAGTAATAATATTGCCTGTAAACGAGGTTGTGGCAGCCCTGTTCCCGCGCTACAAATGTGAACGAACGAAAGCCTAAAGTGGCCTAAAGTCAAATCACGCTATCAAAGTTTCTAAACGTCTGTCTTATTACAAAAATCTCTGTTCTACCAAATGGAGCAACTGACCGGTCCGCGCGGCATAAGTTTCATCACTTCATCACGATCGGTTCAGTCATTCTGATGATTAGCCAGGTAGCATGTAAATTACCACTTGACCTTAATAGAAACTACTTGTTTTGTTATTACAGACAGGCTCTTTAATTTTATTTATATGTGTGTTTATCAAAAAATTCATATTTTATTTTTGAATTTCAGCTTCAATATATAGTGTAATGAAACTCTTGAAAAATTATGGAAACAGTTATTATAATTGTTATTTATAATTTATTCCGAATTTAGCCCCCAAAATCGTAATTCAATTTTTGAATTTGTGGGTTAATTTCAGAGCCATTCGGCAATCACTCTCTATCACTTTGTTAATATCAAATTATAAGATACGTCTTGATGACAAGAGCCACAGGCGCACAGAGCATACTTTAGTTTAATTAAGTTTTTGAGCAACTTAAATTAAAATTTTGTCCGTGGTATAGCCATGCTGCAGCTATATTAGTAGTATAGTTGTAGTACGAATGGGTCGGCTCGACCGGGGAAGGACCACGATCTCACAGAATACTAGCGTAATATAGCAGCTTACGCTACTGTGTTTCGTATGATGAGTGTAGATAATCGGAGACACATTTTACTGGAAATGAGGCATTCCATCTTAGTCCTCACGGGTGACAATGCATCTGCATTTTGATTTGTAATAGCGGATAGATGTAGATGTCTATGGGCCGCAGTAACCACTTACCATCAGGTGAACTATGTGCTCGTTTGTCACCCTTATCCTATAAAAAAAAAATTATAAACTTCAAAGGTGTGAACAGATTTTTTTGAAACATAGCTGAGATCACTCTCGATTAAGACACCTTTTAAATTAAAAAAAAAACAATCAAAATTGATTTATCTGTTTAGAAGCTATGATGCCAGAGACAGACACACAGAATACACAGATACACATATACACACTACAAACTTATAATACATAATACACAATAATACACTCTATTTTTGTCTGGGGTCAAAAAGATGTCTAAGTGTGGGTATTCAAAGCCACGCGGTGGCGAGGCGGCTTGTCCCGGCTTGGGTTATCTATAGACAGTTTTTTCCATGAAATTTTGAGTATTTGAAACTAGAACTAAAAAACAAACAGATGGATAGTTAAATTATTCTTAGATTAAATGACGATAAGTATGAAGGTAAGTGACAGCATTGTGTTAAGGCACTAAGGGTCGCGGGGTCGAAATCCACACGAAACAACAATTTGTATGGCCTACAAATAAATGTTTGTCCTTGTGCAATTTATGTATGTAATTTGCCTTCAAGATTTAGGAGGAAATTCTAGTTTGAGATTAACGTTTAAAAAAACATTAGAATGGCAATCTGCATAATCACATTAATGTCGAAATATTGCGTTGCCTACATACATTAAAAAAAAAACATTCAAATTTAGAATCTGCTCTTTTTTGAAGTCGACGAAAATGGTAGCATATTTGTTGTCTGGACACTGACTCTTTTGCGCCAGTAAGTCATTAATTAGATTATTATTTTATAAATGTACCAAAACGATCTAGGGAGCCATTCAAACACACAAGAAAAATCGGTCGAGCCGTTTTTGAGTTTTTGCGAAACTAACGGACAGCAATTGATTTTTATATAATACTAGCTGGCCAGGCAGACGTAGTTCTGCCCTTTCCGAAGACCCTTCCTATAAAAAAAAGTAATTAAATTCGCAATAAAAAAATATTGAGGGTCACTTAACGGGATAAAAACTATCCTATCTCTCAAGTTAGACCAAACTGCACACAGTGTGCAAAATTTCATTGAAATCAGTTCAGTAGTTTAGGAGTTCATCGCGGACAAACAACGTGACACGTAATTTTTATGTATAAAGATATAGAGCTTGTCAGCGAATTGAGTGAGCTAAAAAGAATATAAAGTTTAGCTAAAGAAATCTTTTTATTTTGTTACGACTTTGTTTGTGTGTCCTGCCGTTTCAATTAAGCTAACATCGTAAACATTTCTCATGTAAGTGAATTATAATTCTTTTGAGAAATAAATGTCTTAAATCACCACTAATTTTGGCACGGAATACTTAAAGTTTCGATTCAATAATAAATAAATAAAATAAATTCACTGCCTCACTTCCGATCTCACAGAATTTCAATTATCAAAACCAGCATTATTTTTTTATAAAGTTGACCATCTTGATATACTCGTATTTTATGAACACACTTCCGGACGTAAGTCTTTAAAAAACAAAGTAAGTGTACAACATGCATCGTTTTCGCCTCAAGCGATTAAAGAATGACAATTGCTCGAATTACTCACACGTGGAACGTAATAGGAACGTGTCTCGCAGCGTCGATGGTATTTATCGAAAGTAAAATTACATATAATATTACGTCATGTAATCATTTTGGCGCGTACGGGTTGCGTAATGGCGCCGAAATGGAGAAGCTTGATGATACATTATTCCTATAATTGAAAGATATGGACTAGCACAGATAATATTACGTGGACTAGTTTCTTCTATACTATATATACGAATATTTATTATAAAACACCACCACCTAGTGAAAATACGTATGTTCCAATTTCAAATTTCCCTCTACATTTTATTACGTGCTAAATTGAAAAATATTATCGCGTTCAGAACAAAAAAAAGTCGCATAAAACCGATTAATTGCTTGATAGACTTTAAATAGCATTAATTATCTAATAAAAGTCCTAAGGCAACGGTGAACCACTGGTATGGTATGACAAACATTTTAGCACGGTCGTCTTACTTTGCGAGATAAAGAATGAAATTATTGCACTTTAACGCCTGTTATATAGAATAAGTATGACAAACGAGCACGCTGTCCACCTGATGGTCAATGGTTGCTGTGGCTCATAGACATTTACATTTATCCTCGATTGAGAATCAAAATGCAGGTGCGTTATCACATCTAAGGACTGAGATGGAATACCTCGTTTCCAGTAAAAAGCGTTTCCGGTTCTCAATACTCACCATCAGAAACAACTCAGCATTAAACTTCTATTTTACGCTGGTATTCTATGACAGCGAGCCGACCCCTCCACCACGTATACCACGTATGGTACAGAAAGAAACGTGCTAGATAACGCCTAGTCCCAATCACAATACAATACAATACAAATACTCTTTATTGTACACCAAGAAAAGATAAATAAAAAACAACTATGGAGGGAAATACAAAGGGCAGTCTTATTGCTACATAGCGATCTCTTCCAAACAACCCAGAAGAAGAAATAAATAAAAAATAACAAAATTAACAAAAAAAAACTTACCTACTCATTAAAAAGACAACATTCTTCAGGTATTATATAGCACTATTTAATTGAAGAGAATAGGCAAATTACGTATGAATATAAAAAGATTCAGCATATTATATTGCAGATTAGATCGGCAAGCGTTCACGAGATTTTACTCACACACCTTCGCGTGAGGAGAATCGTTTGCGTTGCGTGCTCACAAACTCACTGATCCTCAAAAGCAGGCCCGCGTGAAATGATGTCATGACATGATTACTGAATCGACAAGCTCGTTACAGGTGTTTACGTCATTATTACAGATGATGAATCTTGGATTTAACAATACGATGCCGATACGTAGCAGTAGTCGACGGTTTGGCAACAAGTGGTAAAATAAAAAATTTTGTACAACTGACCAATATAAATTATTAAGGATAACTTAAAAACTGCTGGTCAGACCTGGATCAAATTTATATGGGACCACATGAGAAGCACCAGCTTTCAAATAAAGAATCATCAAAATCGGTTCACCTAGAAAAAAAGATATGAGGTAACACACGTAGCACACCGGTTAGCTGTCCCAAGTCCAACACGCCCGCGTCTGGACTTGGGACACCTAACCGGTAGTTTTGGGCACCCTCTCCACAGCCATATCAGACACTTATTTTATTACCAAAAGTATGTAGGCAACATAATATACATACACAAAACTGTTTTCTTTTCAGTAACAGTTGAAAGGGATACAGTTTTCATCGCCGAAAGACAGAAGATGATGGACTGGAAAATGTTTAGAAAATTGGTTCAGACGCAAGAAACTTTGTATCTATACAAAATTGGAAGTTAGAAGCTTCTGGAAAGTTTTGAATGGAATAGAATAGAATAGAATGATTTTATTCAATATTGATTATTACATAATACTTATTGAAAGTCATTTTTTTATTTACCACTGGTTCGGAAAATACCTCTGTCCAAGAAAGAACCAGCAAGAAACCCAGCGGGAATTTTTTTTAAACATATTACACTTAACAATAATTTTGTTTAAACAAATTCTAAATGAATTTTCATAGAACCAGCATGGGGGCGATCGCCTTATTCCCAGGGGTTATTTTCACTCATGTATTCTTTGATATTATTATTAATTTTTTTTTCAGATATTGAAAGGATTAAATAATAATAACTCTAACCTTAAACTATTTTATTAGAACTTTATTTGTTTCGCTAAACTTTCTGTGTGGCCGTAACAAGTAGTATAAAAGATAACTCGCTTAAAGTATTAATTATTGTTTATGTTTTTATTATCGTCGACGACCGAGTCCTTTCCGATCGGCTCGATTCATTGGCACTGCGAAGAGATGTTGCATCCCTTTGCATTTTCTTTCGCATCTACCACGGGGAGTGCTCTGAGGAATTGTTCGGATTAATCTCAGCCGCCAAATTTCACGGACGCACATCGCGGCAGAACTCCCGATACCATCCACACCAGCTGGATGATTGGCGGTCCACCACTGTGCGATTTAGAAGATGTTTTCTTCCTCGCACGACTTCTTTGTGGAATCGATTACCATCAGCGATTTTTCCGGACCGATACGACTTAGGGACCTTCAAGAAAAGAGCCTATGCCTTTTTAAAAGGCCGGCAACGCATCTGCAATGCCCCTGGTTACCCTGGTGTTGCAGTTGTTCATGGGCGGCGGTAGTCACTTACCAACAGGTGAGCCGCATGCTTGTTTACCCCCTCTCCTATAAAGAAAATTATGATAAAAGATTTTTTTTAATAGTTTTTACGGTTGTCGTAGGGTTTTAGGGCTAGGAAGTGTCTACCACGCTGCACAATGTGTGTTGGGGTACTTCACATGTCTTTGAATTATTTATTTATATTTCTCAGATAAGCAGGTTTCCTCGCGATGTTTTCTTTCACCGCCGAGTACGAAGTAAAAGTGCCGGCGGGCATCGAACCCGAGTGGTTACTTCCTTTATTAAAAACATTAATTTATATCTTTTTTTCCAATTTCAATATACATAATATAGTAGGAATTTTATATCGTAAGAAAGGTTTTTAAAATAATAATGAAATTAAATAAACCATTTTTAGCAAACTTTGTTTTAATGTCAAGCCTTAAATTAGCATGTAAGTTATATAACTGTAAAATAAAAACCGTTATTTTATAAATTACCTATGCAACATTCCATTAAGTATAGTTCTTTATAAAAATGTTAATTTCTTTAGTTCTTTTTTTTAAATTGACGCAAAAATGCGGTTAATTAAGAAAATTAAAATTTATCGGTCCGGCTTCGCACCGATTATCTCAATGTTCAAAATTATGCAATGCACAAGTAGAAAGTCATACTGGCCAATGGTCATATTATGCCCAATGGTGTCGGTGATAGTTTGTTTACTAAAATTACTTTACGCAAGTTAAATAACCTCTCATCTTGCGAGAATATATGTTAATCTTTTTTAACAATTTAATGTTAATATTAATGTTTTGTTAACGTTATTTTAATCGTTAGTCTTTTATCTCTGTTGGGGACCGTGTAACTGAACGAATTGACCGATTGAGGTCATATATCATTTTATTTTGCATTATCGAAACGGTTGTTCATAGATATTCTAGAACGTGGAAAAGCACTGTAGTCAAGTAATTTAAAAATTCTATACTTATATACGGACCGAAATAACTCGTATATTCGTAATAATATTATATTGTTTAGTACTAAAATGTGTAAGAATATCAACTAGCCCATATCGTTCCGTGGGTGTCGTAAGAAGCGGCAGAGGGAAACAAACTAGCATGGGCAGCAGCGTCGTCCTAATCACAACTAAAAAAAAATCTGCATAGCATGACAGTAATGCCAAGCATCTCCCTATGAAGAAATCTAAGAGGAAATACCTATTTTTAGTAGTAGATTTTTGATATGCCGTTTAGTAACAAACAATAAAATCACAATATCTGGAACTGACTGGTGGCGTTGCAGTAGAGTTATCTATAAATCTTATACAATGCAGACAACTGTGAAAAATCTGTATCGGAGTGAAACTCAAGCGCCATCTAGCGGTAAGGACATAAAAACGTTTGCAAGGCCAGCTAGTTACATACATGTGTTCTGTTTTTTAAAAAAAATATTTTGACGGTTGATATTTTTAAAGAAAAAATGCGAGATGGTTTGCTGGGATGGTTTGATCATAAATGAGATTCGGTTTACCCGTTATATCAACGTCCTGTTCGAAGACTAGTTGTAACATTTATTTTATTGTTTAAATCAAAAAATAACACACATTATAATGATGAAACTGTAACTGTCATTTATTCCCGAAATATGTGAAACTATTATAAGCCAGTGCGTGGCTATCTGACAGTAAGTGGTGATTCAGAATATAATATGAATCACCATTTATACAGAATATAATTATGAATTTATTAAAAAAAGTATATGGCTTAGCCCGTCTAATCAAATTGAAAGGTCTGTGAAGAAGATGCCGTACGCATTACGATTGTCGAAACAAACCGTTAGCTTTCTATAGAAGAGGAAGCGAATATACGGCAACTAATGACTAGTGTCCACCGACGCCCATGAACAACTGCAACACCAGAAAAATTAGACGTGCGTTGCCGGCCTTTTAAAAAGGAGCAAGCTCGTTTATGCAGGTTCCTAAGTCATTTCGGTCCGGAAAAATCGCCACTATTAAACGATTCCACTAAGCAGTCGTGTGAGGAAATAAACCCCTAGTAAATTAAATGTGTGGTATGTCCACATCAAGAGACCAGCCGAGCGTCTGGTAGTCCGATGGTGGTTCGGAGCAAAATAGAGAAAATTCCTGCGCACACTCTCTGAAATGTATCCTGTAAAACACATGATGTGCATTAGATGTTCACAGATATTTCAGTGCTGAACTACTGCGAAAAATGAAATTCAAAGTTCCATGGCGTTATATGCCCCTAATCCTGAGCAAAGGCTCGTAGGTAGAAGAAAGGTTCTACCTACTACCTTACAAATCTAATCTAAACTTTCAATGATACCTTGTATTCTTTTTAAAAAAATGTGTTAAAAATTTAAGAGATGAAAAGTTCGGAAGTATCACCACCTTCTCATACATGCGAGTTGGTCTGATCTGGGAGAACGTCAAAACATTATTTCACGTTATTTTTTCTTATGTCAGTTCTTCTTCAGTTCGCACAAGTAACACATCATGTAGTTTGTAGTCTGGCAATAATCGAGTTTTATGACCAACGCGGGTAGACTAGGTGCAACTTTTCGAGTACCTCATGACTTTTCTTGTATTATTGCTTTGTTTGTATAGTTTTTGTATGATATGGCATAGTTGAAACTTTTTGTTTACTTTTAGGTTAGATATAATTTACGTAACGATGAAGATAGAATTAGATTAATGTACAATGAACTACATATGAAGATAAAAACGATTGCGTATTGGAGGTTTTTATAAAAGTACAACATGATAATAAGTAGATTGGTAAGATCATTTGCAGAGTAGATGATTCTCGAGCCTAACGTCTAATAATTATTGGAACGAAGTTCTTTATCGGACGGTACGGATTTGGCGGATACCATCCGCCAAATCCGTACCGTACGTATCCGTAGGGGTCGTGACGGAAAAATCTTACACTTATGACAATAAGTGTAAGATTTTTCCGTCACGACCCCTTCTGACGTACTGTAGATGGCCTTGGCGGCTATAAGGAAGCGAGATGGAGTAATATCCATCTGCATCGCAATTTTCCTATTCTTGCCATGAAAGAAATATTATTTTATTTTAAATGACGCTTCATTTTAATAAACGCTAGTAATTCATTTATTTGTATTTTTAATCAATAATATAATACGTTTATCAATAATAATATACTACGAAAGGAATTTCGTTCCAACCGAGTGTTCCACGACAGTCACACATGTTTTTGTTTTAGAAAGAATGGTCAGACGAGATGAAATAAAATTCCTGCCTCAAATCCTTTATGAAGACAGCTATAAGAACTTGGTTACTCAACTTCGAGTTTTAAAAACGTGTAATATATCAGCTATGATATTTATATATAAAAATAATATCTTTGTGTAGCGGATATATATTCGTACGCCATACGCTTACTAAAAATTCCAGTAAGAAAATTGAAAACTGTACGATATTTTTGGAAGCTTTTTTCGTCTTTTCTTGAGACACTTCTTTGCCAAAAACCTTGCGCCCAGATTTAATAAAATCGTCCGAGTGTATAATATGACACATCAAAAAGGGTCGAAAGATGCATTTCAGCTAGACAAAACATATAATTTTCTTTTGTATTGTATATGCTAACATGTGGTGGCGCTACACCGGAGACGTAGAACAGAAGTGCGGTGGTTCTGTTCTTTTTTTATAGAATCAGGAAGATAAACGAGCACACAGTCCACCTGATGGTAAGTGGATGTTGTGACCCATAGACTACATTTATCCTCGATTAAGAATCAAAATGTAGATGCGTTGTCACACCTTAGGACTGAGATGGAATGCTTCGTTTCCAGTAAAAAAGGTCTCCGATTCTCTACACTCACTACGTACAGTTCTTCAAGAAAGGCGACAATGCTCGCTTGAAGAACTACAGACCGATTTCCAACATCAGTGCTGTTTTCGAAAGTCATTACGAATCGTCTCGTACGCAGACTTGACGACTTCCAGCCTCCCGTAAGCCCGGAAATCTTCACCGCTGCATCGGAAGACGTTTTCAAGCTTCTGGACTGGAAAGGATACGGTATTACCACCAATGGCGAGTACATCACTCACTTCCGATTTGTTGACGATATAGTCCTTATAGCAGAATCGTTGAAGGAGAGCACTATGCTCAATGACCTCAATATTGCCTCCCAACGGATAGCTCTTAAGATGAAAATGGACAAAACAAAGATCATGTGTAACGTCCATGTCACACCTATGCGGCAGTTGTTGGGAGCACTAAGCTCGAAGTTGTTGACGAGTATGATTAGGTCCTGGAACGAATAGTCCGACTAGGTAAGTTCAACTCCGACCGAGAGGTCAATCGACGGATTCAACTCGGCTGGGCTGCGTTCGGGAAATTAAGAGACATCTTCTCGTCAGGTATACCTCAAAACTTAAAAAAAGATTGTACAACCAGTGCGTGTTGCCAGTAATGACTTATGAATCTGAGACGTGTTCCTTTACTGCTGGCCGTATGAGGAAGCTCAAGGTCACTCAGCGAGCTATGGAGTGCGCTACGCTCGGGGATTCTCTGCGTGATCAACTTAGAAATGAGGATATAAATAGAACCAGACTGACCGACATAACCCAACGGATAAGTAAGTAGAAGTGGCAGTGGGCTGGCCATATAGCTCGAAAAACCGTCAACCGATGGGGAAAAAAGTTCTCGAGTGGCAGCCTCATACCGGTGGGCGAAGTGTAGGCCGTCCCCCCACTAGATGGAGTGACGACCTGATAACACATGCAGGGAGTCGATGGATGCAGGTGACTCAGGATCGTGCTTTTGGGGCATTCCTTGGGAGAGGCTTATGTTTAGCAGTGGACTTATAAAGGGCTGTAATGATTATAAAGTTATCATAGTATGCCATGACTGCTACGGTAAAACCTCAGTAACAAACAATTTCAACTCAGTCCCGTATAGCGTATTCATAACGAGTAAATATTGCCCTTAGAGTATTCATAAGTTAGTGCTTATGTATTCTCTAAGATGTTGCCACTCTCTAGCCGACCACTACCACTAAATCTGTTTGACAAAATAATCAAAGGATTATATTATACATAAATGAAATATTAAGTTGTGGTTCCAAAAGGCTGTATGGTCATAGACCCTTTGCTATTGACAAAATAGCAAAATACTGCCATTGACATTGTCAATGTCAAGTGACAGAGCTAAATGAAAATATTTCAATTCAACTTTCAGCTTTGTTTTTGTGACTGTGTTACATATTATGTACCATATATTTACTATAGTCTGGTTTGTATTATAATATTAAGTAAATCTTATGACACAATTCAAGTAAACAAAAACAATGGATGTACCGAGGATTGAGAAGACAAAATTGCAAGCACCTGATGTTGCGGTCTCTGCAGTATTGGTTCCAAGTCAAGAGTTACCAGCCGAAACACCTACTGTGGCTGGTTATGATTGGGAGAATGGTACAGACTATAACAAAATACTTGAAAGCTACACCCGCACTGGCTTCCAAGCAACCAGTTTCGGTAAAGCTGTTACTGAGATAAACAATATGCTTAAATGTCGTTCAATTCCTTTGACGGAAGAAACAAGCGACCCTTACGAAGAGGATGTATTTATCAAGAAGAAAACGAATTGCACCATATTCTTAGGCTTTACTTCTAACATGATTTCTTCGGGCTTACGTGATACAATACGTTTTCTAATTAAAAATAAACTTGTGGATTGTATTGTTACTACCGCAGGCGGTGTAGAGGAAGATCTGATAAAATGTTTAGCACAAACATACGTAGGAGATTTCAACTTAAGTGGAAAGATATTACGGTCTCGTGGCATCAACAGGATTGGTAATTTGCTAGTTCCTAATGATAATTATTGTTTATTTGAAGAGTGGGTTACGCCATTGCTTGATGAAATGTTGGAGGAACAGATCCGAGATGGCATTATATGGTCACCATCAAAAATTATTGCCCGATTAGGCGAGAAGATAAATGATGAGAGTTCAGTTTGCTACTGGGCTTGGAGGAATAATATACCTATCTTCAGTCCTGCTTTGACTGATGGATCATTGGGTGATATGATGTATTTCCACTCATACAAGCGTCCTGGACTTATTATAGACATACTGAGCGACTTACGCAGACTTAATACAATGTCTGTTAAAGCAAATAATACTGGAATGATTATATTGGGCGGTGGTTTAATTAAACATCACATATGCAATGCCAACTTAATGAGAAATGGTGCCGATTTTGCAGTATATGTTAATACGGCAAGTGAGTTTGATGGAAGTGATGCAGGTGCTAGACCAGATGAGGCTGTATCTTGGGGCAAGATAAGGGCCAATGCTACCCCAGTAAAGTTATATGCTGATGCAACATTGGTTTTTCCACTACTAGTCGCTCAGACATTTGCTAGGCATCATTTTAGTAATAAAAAGAATGTATAATATTGTTGTAGTACATTTTTTCCCCAAATAATTATTATTTTGCTGTATTGTTAAGTAATATTTTAGTTTGTTGGTCAATAAAAATATATAATAAACAAAAATATATCTATATAATATGAATATAATAATTAAAATAGTATATATTATGTATGTATATCGACGATGAAGTACCAATACCTCCTATCTTCGTCTTTAGCGATTTTCAGATTTTAATGCAGATCGACGTAAAATAATATCTTGCACATACTAACAAAATCTCCTAAAACATTATTTAATTATTTGTACTTTAAAATACTAATAGAAATAACTGCTATTTTAAGTTGACAAAATTATTCTAAAATTTTGCTGGAAATAAATCCTAACTTTACAAAAGAAATACCTTCTATATTATTTTATGCATAAAATAAGAGCAAATACCCATCCATCTGCAGCAACTTAAGTCAGTATTACCCAGTGATTGTGATAGTTTTGACGATGGTCTGCCATTCTCTACTTAAAAAGTTAAAGATGTTAGAATTTAAGTAAAAGTTTATTGGTAATTTTTGATCTCATCGCTATTAATGACTTTATATTGTACCAGGTTGATGTTATATTCCGTTAATACCCCGGACGTCAGTCTAAACGAGATTAGAATGGCTCTCCAGCACCTTAAAAAGGGCAAGGCCCCAGGCGAGGATGGAATTACAGTGGAGCTTCTGGAAGAGGGTGGAAAACTGGTACTCAAAGTCCTTCAGAAGCTCTTAAATTCCGTCCTCCATGGTGGCATTATACCGGAGGCGTGGAGCAGAAGTGCGGTGGTCTTGTTCTTCAAGAAAGGTGACAACACTCTCTTGAAGAACTACAGACCGATTTCCCTTCTGAGCCACGTCTATGTGCTGTTTTCGAGAGTCATTACGAATCGTCTCGCGCGCAAACTTGTCGACTTCCAGCCTCTCGAACAAGCTGCTTTCCGAAAAGGCTTTAGCACCATAGACCACATACATACCCTTCGGCAAATTGTACAGAAGTCCGAGGAGTACAATTTGCCACTATGTCTGGCGTATATGGACAGTAAGAAAGCCTTTGATTCCGTCGAAATTTGGGCGGTGCTGCAGTCTCTTCAGCGGTGCCAAGTTGAAGTTGAAGTTGTCTGTAACTCGCAGCATAAATAATTAAATAGTAAAAGGTGCATAGATTAATTTTCATGTCTCAAGCTATTTTTATTGATATCCTCTTAAAAAGCGATATTTCTATATACTACCTACCATTTCGTAAAAATCAGCCAAGTACAATTTCCTTCATTTTAATATTGAATTTTGGGTTACTGGGTAAAATAATTGAATTCTAATTGCGGCCCTGTCTTTTTGTTATTTTTTTATGAGGTTTACTTGACGATAGATGGCGGCCTGTTCCCAAAATTATTATGAAAACTATAAAAATATTATGTTGGCGATTAAAATTTATGTGTCTCAATGTATTTGCTTCATGAGATAGACGCTCCGATGCTATGGATGGCATCACATTTCATTTGCAAGTAATTTTACACCTAATTTATTAAAATAGTTCTAGATAAATCTCTGCGTCGGCTTTCAAATATAATTAAATATATTCCACACTAGATGGCGAAACTTTGTGTCCTGTGAACTAAAAATATAACGGTACGTAAAGCTCAGTAATGATAAAATAATCATACGAAGGTGCTGAAATTTGTTTTGCATTCAGACAAAGAAATTTTAATCGCCAAAATATTATTTTTATAGTTTATAACATTTTGTGGACATGCCGCCATCTACCGTCAAGGTAGCTAAGCTACATTGCAACATCGATATGGAAAGATTCGAGTAGTTTTACTATTTATCGGTAGATGTAGATAGTGTAGTGGGCGGGGCTTTGCACTCCCTCACCCCGCAAATTGTCAGGCGTTGTTACTCCGTAGGAGTAATAGTGTTCTGTGGTTGTTACATAAAGAAATTTAATTACAGCGTCTCCTCTTTGTATTTGCTTCATGACCATTATTCATTATTACCGCCATCTATGAGCAAACCAAGTAAAAATCTAATCACGTACGTCGATTTGTTAAAACTAGTGCCATATTAATATTAAGTATATAATGTTAAGATTGTACATTTGGTTTACTTAATCATCAGAATATATTATATGTTAATATAAATTAACTTATTATTTTTGTGAGTAAAATTAAAGTTAAATTCAGAACGCAAATGGTGTGAATGAACTTCTCTATGACGAACTGTGAACTGTCGAGATTCAAATGTCAAATTAAATAACTACTACGGTGTGAAGATAGCAGTTACTGGTCAAGTACACAACGTGTGTGACCATCTTTTTAGTTGTGTGACGGTCCAATCCAGTGCTGCCAATTGAAGGAGAATTACCCAATCGATGGGAAAAACGGGCACGGGGTTTGATTAAAGAAGGGAATTTCGGGAATGTACAATAAAAAAAAATACTGGGATTGTTTATTATACACCAGTTAAGTAGTTGACATCATTATTAATTAATTAATACAATATTATATTATGATAAAATTACGATAATTTTTTTCTAAGTTAAATTAGATTAAAAGTGTTAAAAAATCTACAAATAAACAAAATTATTTTACAGTAAAAGCTATGACGTCCTTACCTGTTGTTTGTTTGCATTCTAATATGCTCATACTATTTCTATAGATAGCAATGTTAGTTTCAACAGCTCTTGAAAAGTTTTTCTTTTAAGAGAACAGAGTATCATATGACACTCCTGTTCTTCCAATGAGGGCTAATAATATTCCGCTCACCAAATGTCGCTAGTTGACACTGAGGTAAGGCTTTTTATTACATAATGTTATTTAATTGACATGTCAGTTTTAAATAATATTTTATCAGTTTTTAGAGTAATAAATTAATACACAAAACAGTGCCTCGGTGGTTTGCTCTTTAAATTTTTGCACATTTTTAACTCTTTTTTAAATTTTCTACTTTTATTAATATCGGTGGTTTTGTTTATTAATTTTAATCAAATTAATATAAAATATAACTAATAGCACAGAAAGGAACATTAACATACATTTTTCTAACAAATTAACTTCCCCGCTATGAAATCTGTTAAATATTATACCTCATTTTTAAGTGGCGCAGCCCAGGTGGCAGCAAAAGTTGTGGAGGCCCTCATGGAAATACTTTGGGCCCAATTTCTTTATCAAGTACTAACAGAAGGATTGTCTATCGTACTGAATTTCTTATTCTTGTATGTTACTGTACCATGCGATACAATTACTTATTGTTGTGGAAAAGTGGTCAAATTTCATGCTAATTAAGTGTTGAAGGAGAAATTTCAAGTAATGATACTTATAAGTACAATTTAATAACCACCTGCATTTCATTACACAAACAGAGCTTTTTCTAATTTATAAAAAGTACCTATATCATTATTAATCGGAATTACTCAATTACTTTTAATTATTACTTTTTGATTGCATGTTGCACAATATGTATTTCCATATTTCGCCCCTTTTCACCGTGTACAATTACGTGATCACTAAGAGTTTTTGAATTAAATTTATTGCGGTGGAAAATTCAAAATTAAATCTGGGTAGTACTGCACTGGGTGCAACCGTATCATCCGTATCCGTACATCAGTGTTATCAGATACACGGTTATCACCGTAAAAGCACAGTATTTTAATCAAAACACGGTCTACGGTAATAATCTATTACCGTATCGTTTTCTACGGTATTTTTTAAAATAAAATACCGTGTAAATAATAGTCGAATTTGACTCCAAAGTTATAAAAATGCGTAAAATGAAAGCCATATTCTAATTAGGTACACTTAATCAGAAATCCCCTAAAATTTCATTGCTCGTCAGATCATATAATCTGGCTAAATGAAAAAGATTTTCTGGGAGTGGTTTTTCTTTGTTAAGGATTATGGGGATAATTAAAGATATAATACTTTGAACATAAAACGTGCTTTTTATTAACCTCAAAACAACAACATGGAGAGCCTATAACATCATATTGTACCTTCCTTCATAACAGACATAGTGTTGACAACCGACGCAGTGTTGCCATTAAAATACAATATTATATAAATCATTGTTAATTAACATTCTTTTGGTTAACTTAATTTGAAATGAATAGTTTAATAATAATTAAATTAAATGTTAAATTTCTTTTAGAAGTCGTACAATACGAGATCATACTGGTCATAGTGATGAAAGTGACAGTGGTAGTTACGAGATTGATACTGAAACTGGACCGACATTCTCCAAAATAGCAAGAGCTGGGCAAAAACGTGGGCATTACAAACAAAATTTTTGATTCAATGGTTATGTGTTACTTTATTAATTTAGAATTATTTTACTCGCCTCTTTATTGGCACACATACTTAAGTAATGTTTTTATTGTTTACACATAGCTCAGCTGAAGGACCAAAGTGAAGAATTTCAATTCAAAATGGAGAAGTCATGAATTTATGACCAAAAAGTGGAATTTTTGGAAGAAAATTTTATTGCTAATAAAAAAGATATCAAAAAAACGTATTTAGTTTTACATTGACACGGTAATATGCACTGTAATTTAAAAATAAATCTAAGGTAATAATACATTAAACACGGTAATTTTAGTCTGCTGACATGATAGTTTGCAATTTTCATCTGGTAGCATCGCCGTACATTTACATTTGTGTCGGTTCGTTGACAGTAATCTATGGTTGAAAGCTTTATGGCTGTAGTCGAGCTGTCGACGGTCAGTGTGACCATATGTGGCAGGTTCCTGCCATTTTGGCAGGATTGGCCCAGATTGGCCTCTTATTTCAGCCTCTGGCATGAGTGGTTGACGTTTTATAAAACCTGGCAGTATTTGGCAGTATTGGGGTATTAAAAAAAGGTTTCATTATGGCAACTTAAAATGACGAAAATGGCAACCCAGGATACTACTTGATTATGTTTGTATCACATGCAATAAACAACTTTAAAAAATGTTGTGTATAAAGTCGATAATCTTAAGACGAATTAACACGAGTT